GAAAAGAGATTGTAAGCCTCTCTGAGACTCCGACTGAAGGGTGGGGTATAAATCCAGTCTCTTCTTCTCCAGAGGAACTGGTTGGCCACTGTGTGAGATGGGATGCTGGACTAGATGGACCCTCACTGGTCTGATCCAGCAGGGCTCTCCTGATGTTCTTCTCAGGGGAAGGCCTTGGCCTCTCTGCCCTGTTGTTGGACCTCCAAAGGAACTGGTTGGCCCCTGTGTGAGACAGGAGGCTGGACTAGATGGACCCTCACTGGTCTGACCCAGCAGGGCTCTTCTGATGTTCTTCTCAGGGGAAGGCCTTGGCCTCTTTGCCCTGTTGTTGGCCCTCCAGAGGAACTGGTTGGCCCCTGTGTGAGACAGGAGGCTGGACTAGATGGACCCTCACTGGTCTGACCCAGCAGGGCTCTTCTGAGGTTCTTCTCAGGGGAAGGCCTCGGCCTCTCTGCTCTGTTGTTGGCCCTCCAGAGGAACTGGTTGGCCACAGTGTGAGACAGGAGGTTGGACTGGATGGACCCTCCCTGGTCTGACCCAGCAGGGCTCTTCTGAAGTTCTTCTTTGGCCTGACCCAGGGCTCTTCTGAACTTCTTGTGAGGGAAGCACATGGTAAAGATGAGGGGTCTCACTCAAGAATATTTGTGAATTCCCTGCATTGTGCAGGCAGTCGGACTAGATGACGGTGGAGGTCCCTTCCGACTCTATGAGGAGCCGGGTGCTGTCGCTCTTTCACTCCTCTCTGCTTTCTCCCAGGCCCCTTCCGGAAGAGGTCTCCGAAGAGGACTTTGAAGACTGCAGCTTAGACCTCAGCCCAGGTAAGGCCCAGGAGGTGGCCGCTGAAGGTTGCCAACTCCATGTTGGAAATTCCTGGAGATCTGGGGCGGGGGGGGATGGAACCTAGGCAAGGCAAAGTTTGGGGCTGGAAGGGAGTTTCCAAAGCCGCCACTTCCTCCAGGGGGGACTGGCCCCTGTCGCCTGGAGAGCAGTTGTGATTCCAGGAGATCTCCAGGCCCCACCTGGAGGCTGGCAACCTAACAGCGGCAGGTGGTGGCAATGGGCTGGTGCTTCACCAGGGGTTGGCGGGAACGTTTCTGGGCTCGGTTCGCGAGAGGCCCGATCCGCCAGGAGGACTTTCTGCGCTCACCTTCCAGCCGCATCGCCTCCACTAGACGCGCTCTCATTTCCGGCATTCCCGTCGTTTGTGCAGAATTCCCCTCCGGCTCTTGTTCACCAGGCTCGGTCGCTTCTGTTCTGGCCCCGATCCCTGGTAAATCACTGCCCTTTGGGGAAGATGTTGGAGATTTATTTTTAATGATTGCTGTGGACGAGAATTGCTAGACCTGAACTCCTTCCGGTCCCGTCTCCTTCCCTGGGGGAGATGGTGAGGAATTTCACATTACCCTTTTTAACCCATTTTGAAGCCATTTTTGATCCCTCATGGAGTAAATTGGTATAGGGCTGTCATTTCACACATGGCTTTCCCCTTCCGGTAAAGAGCTGGATCTGAAGCGGTTTGCCATTTTAGACTGCACTGCTTTTTCCCGCTTTCTCCGGCTTTTTTTTTTTTAACGTTCGCTTTATAGCGCTATAGCACTATAACAAAACACTCCAGGCATTCCAATAGGATTGATATAACGCTGTTGCGTTATAGCGCTATAACGCTATAAAGCAAACGTTTAAAAAAAAGCTGGAGATCGCCCGCGCGGGTGAAAAACGGCGGGAAAAAGCACATCGGAACCGGGAGAAGAAACTGAAGACTACTTGTAAGCGGTTGACAGGTAAAACGCTTCAGCCCTGTTTCCTAAACGGGACAGAAGCGTTTGTGTCTGAAATTACAAATATATTCCGGTAGGGAACCAGTTCTAAAACGGTTCTGTCTGAAATGACAGACCAGAAACCGTTTGGGAACTGTTCCTCTTCCGGATTATATCGTCTGTCTGAAATTCCTCACCGTGTTATGGCCCAGAGGCGACACACATCCGGCCCGTGGGAGCTTCTCCTCCGGCCTTGAGCCACCGGACATTTTGTGGAGACCGTCGGCCTGCCAGAGTGCAGCACCGGCTAATGGGCTGGTGCAGGGGTTGCCAACCTCCAGGTAAGGCAACAAACACACGGGAAACACGGCCAGGTTGAATAAACGTGGGGAAACACCGTGTTCAAACAAAACGCACAATTCTGATACGCTACTGTGCCTTCATATATCCGTTTAACTCATATACTAAGCCCTACGGGGGAGGGCGGGGTATAAATCTGATTAATAAATAAAATAAATAATTAAAATAAATAAATAGACAATAAAGACCCTAGTGTATCTTATTAATTATAGTACATTGATAACAAAACCCCTAAAGAACAATACATGTCTGGTAGAAAAGTCCACCGCGACAGAGACAAACATACAGACAGGATTCAGTGCTGTAGAATATCTTGCTTTCAGATAAGAGACGCCGCCGTCGTCAATGCCAATGCTGCAGGCTGTTTTGCTTTCCGAAAAGAGATGCCACAAGCGTCGATGCAACACGCCTCCCAGGCAAAAGTTGCATGTTTCGAGAAATTCTTCTTCAGGCAAATTATTTGTCCTGGAACTGAATTACAAATACAATACAACAAGATATACTTTATGTAGAAACCAGGGGGGGGGAAGTGCTAGCTTGCTGCACTTATCCAAAGCTCACAATGCCACAATGCATGGGTCCAACACGGCTTCTCTTGTGTTCTTATGTAACATCAGAAGAGCCCTGCTGGATCCGACCAGCGAGGGTCCATCTAGTCCAGCCTCCTGTCTCACACAGGGGCCAACCCGTTCCTCTGGAGGGCCAACAACAGAGCAGAGAGGCCGAGGCCTTCCCCTGAGAAGAACACCAGAAGAGCCCTGCTGGATCCGACCAGCGAGGGTCCATCTAGTCCAGCCTCCTGTCTCACACAGGGGCCAACCCGTTCCTCTGGAGGGCCAACAACAGAGCAGAGAGGCCGAGGCCTTCCCCTGAGAAGAACACCAGAAGAGCCCTGCTGGATCCGACCAGCGAGGGTCCATCTAGTCCAGCCTCCTGTCTCACACAGGGGCCAACCCGTTCCTCTGGAGGGCCAACAACAGAGCAGAGAGGCCGAGGCCTTCCCCTGAGAAGAACACCAGAAGAGCCCTGCTGGATCAGCCCAGTGAGGGTCCATCCAGTCCTGCATCCTGTCTCACGCAATGGCCAGCCAGTTTCTCTGGAGAGCCAACAACAGGGCATTGAGGACAAGGTCTCCCTAAGAACCCAAGAAGAGCCTTGTTTGATCAGACCAGTGAGGGTCCATCGAGTCCAGCATCCTCCCTCACACAGTGGCCCTGCAGGGCAGAGCGGCCGAGGCCTTCATAATAGCCTAAGAAGAGCCCTGCCGGATCAGACCAGTGGTCAGTTCAGCATCCTGTCTCACACAGAATGCTGACCATTTTTGGGACACGGCCAGGGGATTCCCAGAGGCAGAGATTCTTATCTACCTTGCGTGGTGGGCTCAACAGAGCCTCCATGTATAGAGGCAGATTACCTCTAAATACCAGAGGCATCTGATTGATGATGTGGGAGACAGGATTCTGGAGTTGCAGGACCCTTGGTCCAATTGAGGAAGGCAACTCCTGGAGTTCCATGCACGCAGCAACATGACAGGCATGCTCACACCACACCAAACGCCGGCACAAGACGTAATTAAGATCTGGGGTGAACCTACCCTGTGCAACAGCCATGCGCCAGACGTGGAAGTTCGTTTCCTTCCCTGGCAGGGGCTTTTGAAACTGCATCGGAGGCGGAACGCAGTCTGCCCTGGCTTGTGAATGGTTTTGTTGGATGATATAATAATAAAAAATCTTTTTATAATCTTTCAATTTATTGATCGCTCAATCCTTGCAGAGCTGCCGGCTCTGAGTGATTTACAGTTACTCATGTATTCACACGAGACTAACAATGATAGGGGTAAGGGAGGACAACACTTCTTAAATCACATACATTTCGCAGTCGACAGGGAGTTTGATCAGCTGTAAGCTTCAGACGTGTTCCAGCAGCATTCTCACTCGGCGTCGCTTGATGTCATCAGCATTTTTCTCAGTTGCAGCGCAGCACTGCCACCGTCTGGCCAGAATAGCCCATGGCAGGCTTCTTTTGATGCTGCGTAGATCTCTCTCGGCTTTTGAACTTACACGCGGACCTTCCATTCACCGGCTAACACCTCCCCCACCGGGGAGTTTAGTGTGCCCACCCTCTCTAAGGAGTGGTACCCATTTTCTCTACTTGCCGAAGCTTTTGAACCACTGGTTAGACGGCGAGCTGGGGACAAGGCTGGTAGCTCACACCAGCACGGGGCTAGAACTGACAGCCATTCTGTTCAGCTCAGATGTATTAACCAGAGGATAAATCCCCTGTGCCACCGCTCCCCTTAAATGATTCATGGGGATGGGATTATATCTCCTATAAGGCTGTGCAAAAATGTGTGTGGATTATGTACACGGCAGCGTGGTATAGTGGTTAAGAGGGGGTGGAGTCTCATCTGGAGAACCGTGTTTGATTCCCCAATCCGCCCTTCATGTGGAGCCTGCTGGGCGACCTTGGGCCAGTCACAGTTCTCTCAGAGCTGTTCTCTCAAGAGCAGTTCTCCCAGAACTCTCTCAGCCCCACACACGCAAGGTGCCTGTTGTGGAGAGAGGAAGGGAAAGGCGATTGCAAGCCACTTTGGAACTCCTAAGGGTAGAGAAAAGTGGGCTATAAAATCCAACTCTCTTCCCCCTCCTCACATTTAAGTAACATCAAAATATGCCCTGTATGTTGGCTTTCCACAGGAGCTGGTTGGCCACTGTGTGAGACGGGAGGCTGGACTGGACCCTCCCTGGTCTGACCCAGCAGGGCTCTTCCAATGTCCTTATCAGGGGAAGGCCTCGGCCTCTCTGCCCTGTTGTTGGCCCTCCAGAGGAACTGGTTGGCCCCTGCGTGAGACAGGAAGCTGAACTAGAGGGACCTTCACTGGTTTGATCCAGCAGGGCTCTTCTGATGTTCTTCTCAGGGGAAGGCCTCGGTCTCTCTGCCCTGTTGTTGGCCCTCCAGAGGAACTGGTTGGCCACTGTGTGAGACCAGAGGCTGGACTAGGTGGACCCTCACTGGTTTGATCCAGCAGGGCTCTTCTGATGTTCTTCTCAGGGGAAGGCCTCGGCCTCTCTGCCCTGTTGTTGGCCCTCCAGAGGAACTGGTTGGCCACTGTGTGAGACCAGAGGCTGGACTAGGTGGACCCTCACTGGTCTGATCCAGCAGGGCTCTTCTGAGGTTCTTCTCAGGGGAAGGCCTCGGCCTCTCTGCCCTGTTGTTGGCCCTCCAGAGGAACTGGTTGGCCACTGTGTGAGACAGGAGGCTGGACTAGATGGACCCTCCCTGGTCTGACCCAGCAAGGCTCTTCTGATGTTCTTCTCAGGGGAAGGCCTCAGCCTCTCTGCCCTGTTGTTGGCCCTCCAGAGGAACTGGCTGGCCCCTGTGTGAGACCAGAGGCTGGACTAGGTGGACCCTCAGTGGTCTGATCCAGCAGGGCTCTTCTGATGTCCTTATTTGGCCTGTCCTAGAGCTCTTCTGAACTTCTTGTGAGGGAAGCATATGGCAAAGATGAGGGGTCTCACCCAAGGATATGATGGAGAGTCAGTGGCAGAGAACCAGTCCTCACCTTGTACTCCCCCCCACACCCTCTGTCTCCTTCACAGCCGTTGCCCCCAACACCCTGGAGCTGTGCGGCCGCCGGCGGATGAAGAAACGCCTCCCCGCCCCCGATCTCGGCGAGGGCTCCGTCAAGTCCGGCGAAATCCCGCTGCACACGCCGGACGGCAGCCTGGACATCGACGTCGACGAGCTCGAGACACCGTCCGACAGCGAACTGCAGGAGGGCTCTGAGAACGGACATGAATATGAGTGGGAAGGTGAGGGTCCGAAGGGGGAAGATCATCAAGGAAAGGTACCCCCGGGGGGATGGGCGTCTGCAGACTGCAGGTTGCTGACGAAAACGGATTCCTTCACGGAGGGCAGCTGCCTCCAGGAGGAGATCTTTCATTCTCACACCTTGGCCGACAGATGCGCCATACTCCAAGGGGAAGGGGGGTTCCTTGATGCAGTGGACCAATGTGGGGGTCCTAGAAGCCCCCCCCCCACGTTGCCCGACCAGCCTGATCTTCCTTCGGGTTTCTGACACAGGTCTCACACACAAAATGGCCGCCACAAAATGGCCGCCACAAAATGGCCACCACAAAATGGCCGCCACGGATCGCCTCCTGTCCCGTAGTGAAGATCCTTGTGTTGCGGTGGCGGCTGTTGCCAAAGCAACATTTTTTTAAAAAAAAAAGTGTGCAGCCAATGAGAAGCCTAGCTGGGCGACAGCCTCACCTGGCTCCACCCACTTTTTCAAAACACTTTGGCGTGTACCAGGAAAAGTCTTGACAGCTACCATGATTCCAATGGACACCTCACAGGCAGTGTTCCCTCTAAGCTGAGTTAGTGTGAGCTAGCTCACAGCTTTTTAGCTTCTGGCTCACACATTTTTATCTTAGCTCAGGAAGGAGGGCTCCAGAGCAAGCTAAGGCATGCAGCAGTCAAATCGCTCGCTCACAGCTTTTTGCTCACAAGACTCCACAGCTTAGAGGGAACATTGGATATGATCCTTCTGTCCCAACATGGTGTCGTGGTTAAGAGCGGCGGACTCCAATCTGGAGAACGGGGGTCGATTCCCCACTCCTTTACATGCAGCCAGCTGGGTGACCTTCGGACAGTCACAAGCTCTCTCAGAGCTGTTCTCTCAGGAGCAGTTCTCGAAAGAGCTCTCTCAGCCCGACCTACCTCCCAGGGTGTTCGTTGTGGGGAGGGGGAAGGGGAGGCGATTGTAAGGTGCTCTGAGACCATGAGGGAAGGGCGGGGTATAAATGGAACTCTTCTTCCTCCTCCTCCTCCTCTTCGTCCTCCTCTTCCTCATTGGAAGTTTGGAACATTATACAAATGATCTCATTCCTCGCCCACCCACTCAGCACAGGTGACTGGCCCCTCTAAGAGCCAGTGATGTGGTGGATATGGTGGAGACAGTGGAGAAGAAGAAGAAGAAGAGATTAGATTCATACCCCGCCCTTCACTACCCAAAGGAGTCTCAGAGCGGCTTACAAACTCCTTTCCCTTCCCCTCCCCACAACAGACACCCTGTGAGCAATGCTCCCTCTAAGCTGCGGGGTGTTGTGAGCAAGAATTCTACTTGGTGAGCTACTAGCATTGAAGTTGTGAGCGAGCTATTTGGCAACTGCATAAATTAGTTTGTTCTGGAGCCATCCCTTCCTGAGCGAAGACAAAAAAGCGTGAGCCGGAGGCTAAAAAACTGTGAGCTAGCTCACACTGATTCAGCTTAGAGGGAGCACTGCCTGCGAGGTAGGTGGGGCTGAGAGAGCTCTTGACAGAAACGGCTCTTTTTCAAGGACAGCTCTTGAAAAATTGTGACGCGATTGAGGTTGACAAGATTATTCATGGGATAGAGCAGGTAGAGAAAGAGGTCCTTTTCTCCCTTTCTCACAATACAAGAACTCGTGGGCATTCCATGAAATTGCTGAGCGGTCGGGTTAGAACAGATAAAAGGAAGTCCTTCTTCACCCAAAGAGTGATTAACACTTGGAATTCACTGCCACAGGAAGTGGTGGCGGCTACAAGCATGGACGGCTTCAAAAGGGAATTAGATAAGCATATGGAGCAGAGGTCCACCATTAGCCACAAGGTATAGATGGGGACTCTGGGGCAAGTGATGCTCTGTCATCTTGGTGCTTGGGGGGGGGGGTCAACAGTGGGAGGGCTTCTAATGTCCTGGCCCCACTGGTGGACCTCCTGATGGCACTGGTATTTCTGGCCACTGTGGGATACAGAGTGTTGGACTGGATGGGCCTTTGGCCTGATCCAACATTGGC